CTCGCTTTGCCTCTTAAGCTAACAAGGCTCGTCAATTGCTCCCGATTGAGGATATGGTTCGGCGCTCCTCTTTTCAGTTTGTGCCGTGCTTTTTGTTTTGGACCGATTGTAAATGCAGGCCAAGCCAACTGAGCCACAGAGGCGTGGCCTGCTTAGCTAAGGAGGCTAGCCACACGCTAATATGAAATAGCCTTCCAAGTGAATGGGCCAACTCTGGGCAAATGATTGCAACGTTGCACCTTTTGGGGTTGCTTTTGAACGACGGTAATAGTCAAGGGAGAGCGAGCCAACAAACTGGCATCCTGTAGCGGAGCCTCCCGAGTGAATGCCGATAACAACGCGCCCCGCCTCGCCACAGGCACATAACCTTGCTGGCGGAGTAAAAAAAGCACCCCCCCATCCATCAAGCCGGTGAATGGCGGCGTCGCGGCAGACATTTTTTACCACCTCCTCAGTGTTAAATTACCCACGCCTGAATTATTCTCGCCGCGATGCTTAATGCCCGACGTCCTGTGCGAACGCGGCGGCGCGGGAGGAAAAGGATTGCGTGGGCGGGCGACGCCGCGAGAACGCAAAAGTCGAAATCTACCGGTGTGCTGCTCAATCTTCAGCGGAAACTGCCAATTAGCACACGGCCTTGCCTCGCCAAAGAAAATAGACCCCGCCGGTGAATGGGCAGAGGCGGCGGGACGAAAAGGCGCAGAGGTGCGTGGGGGGTGGGGACCATCCTCGTTCATATTCCGTTCGGTTCTCATCCAGGATGGGCGGGCTCCTGGACGCCTCGCTGAGTTGTCGGCGGCTAAATAATTGCGCCTTTTTGGGAGGCAGAAAGGAACAAATAGGAAAGGCGTTTTCAAATGGAGGGAGTAAAAGCAAAGCGCCGTTGGAGAAATTAAGACTCCAAATCTGTCTCTTGAGTGGCGGAAGTAGTTGCTTGAAGGCTGTTGATCGGCATTCCGTAGCCTCGACAGAGCGATGATCAATAGCATGAAGTGTATTATTTGCTCGATAATCTGAAAGAAGATCCTCGCATCTGGATGCGTGTGCTTTTTGGGTTTTTTTGCCCCCTCATGAATACTCCAGTATAGTACAGTCATTGGAAAGTGCTACTGAAGTACTTCCTCCCACTCGGTCCGCTTGCTTCCCTGGCTCGGACTCGGCTCTGAGCTCACACCGTCGGCGTCAACAAGCCAGCGACCGCGCCGGCGTTCATTCATTCGGAATGAGCACTGGGAGGGAACGCCGGGGCGAGTGACAGCTGGCGGGAGCCGACGAGCAGGCGCAGGCGGGAGTTGGGAGGGAGTCGAGTGGAGTTCAGCGTGAGCTGAGCTGGTCCCAACATGGTCGAACGCCGGTCTGGCTTTTTTTTTTTCCCTTAGTAGTCGTCATGTTGAATCTCTGAAGTCGACGGGAGAGTCGAGTTTGAATTCCGTCAGTGCAGGGTTGGTTCACAAAGCTTTGGTTCAGGATTCCTCGCACTCTCCAGCAAACAAACTCAACCTCGGTCTGGGTCTGGAGAAAGGACCTGGTCGATGTTTGACAGCAAAGAGCCGCGGCCAGTGTTGACATTTTCAAGTAAGCTGGCGGAGTCATCAGACGTCGGTACGGTCTCGTGTCCCGGTCGGGTCCATTTCCGTTCTTGACAAGAGAGAATTTGTGTCAAGTTCAGTTTTGCACTGGGCACGTACATTGCCAGTCTTGTCTGGAGGCCGGCGAAACCCGCAATGATGTCAGCTGCACAACAGAACGTTCAAAGGGGATCTGACCGCTTAGAAGGACATCTCCCACAATCTCGTATGTGCAGCTCACGATGACAAGAAGAAGGGCTTCCTCTTCCCTTCGATCAATCTCACTTTTTTGCCCCATTGGCACGCTTTAGCATCAAGCGTAGCAACGCCATCCGACAGACACCTTTGGCCCATGGTATCTGTCCTCTGCCACGGAGCCCAACACAACAGCGACATGGATCGCTGTCAATACCCCCCCCCCACCACCCCCACCCCAAATAAGCGCTGCTCGAAAATCAGCAGCTGCTTCCCTAAAATAACGCAAAAACTTCAAAAGCGATGGAATGTCGCTCCTGACAAGCGGTAATGAGGGCGCTGTGGGCAAAGTGAGCAAACACATTCCCGAGTTAGACTCCGCCTGGGGATGTCGCGCGTCTCGAGCCGCCACCGCCCCTCCGCCGTGCCATCAAGACGCAGGAGCGTTCCTCTTCCTCCCTCCCGTCACGAAGCTTCCCTTGGCGGTCCGAAAAGGGGAATTGCATCGATAACCAACAGGCAGTTTGGGGTGTGGGATTGGGGGGCTCCGTCCGTCTTGGCAGGCAGACGCTTTAGAAGAAAAAGCGAGACGTGACAAAATCAGACCATTATTTTCTTTCTTTCTTTCTTTCTTTGTCCCGGCAAATGTCACCATCGCCTTCGGGAACCGGGGCCGCCGCCGCCGCCGCCGCGGGAGGTCTTGGGGTGTCGCAGTTGAGCGCACACCGGTCTCTGTTCTTTTCTATTCCAACCCTTTGGATGTCGCTTTTGCTCTCGACGACGATCGCGAGGCTTTGACGAAGGGCCCGGCGACCGTTGTCCGCCATCTCCTCACGCGGCCCCGATGCCGAAGACGTGCTCTCGTTGGCTCGACGCCCACACTGCGGACATTCTTTGGCTTCTCTGCACGACTGAACTGGTTTCATTCACACCATTGAAATGCTCTCATGCACCACCCCGAGTTGTTTCCCCCTGCGCTCATGCACAAAACCCCACCGAAGAGCATCCTCTGGACTTATGAACCGATAAAAGACACTCACGCGCACGACGGAAATGCTCTCATATGCACGACGGAATTTCTTTGCACTCGTTGACTCGGACTGCTGAAATGCACACGGATACGACACAGAGTACAATATTAGCGCCGTTGAAATTTGGATCCGCCATGTTCACGCCTTGAAAAATGACCTCGCCTCGCCCCGGGACCGCTCGGCGCCCTTTCCCCCGACGGCCGTCCTCGCAATTCGAAGACATCATCTGCCGCCCCCTACGCCCCTCGCGAGCCACAATCTCAGCGGAGCTCGACGGGAAGATGGAAGTCAAAGGATGGGCGTGAAAGGCTTTGAGGGGGTGAAGGTGTCGCGGTGGAAAGAAACACGGGGAGGACGGCTCGAGTTCGGGTGATGCAAAGATGGGAGCGGCTTCTCTCCTATCGAGTCGTCTCAGGAGCTGCCGCCCCCCCCCGGGCAACGCGGGGAGAAAAGCATGATGAATAATTAACTGCGAGAAATGTCACGAGCGGCAGAGAAAAGTAGTGGAAGCGTACCCCTGGTGGATTTAGGGATCGTCTGCCTTCAAAACACACACACACATATAAAAAAAAATATATATATTTGAACATGTTTTTTTTCTTTTTTTATGTACACGCCGCACACACACACACACACACACACACACACACACACACACACACACACACACACAGTCATTTATATGTAAGAACAAAGCTGGAATCCACCCCCCGCCCCCTGTTAATTACTCTTTTGAGGGGGGGAGGGGGGAATCCCCCACGCTCAACAAGAACGCCAAAATGGAGCACGGCGAGTTGAACTTTCGAGGACGCGTTTTGAATCGACGACGACAAGATAAACAAGTGAATAAAAAGCCACACGGCCAGAAATAGTTTGGCTGTTGTTCCCCTTTGAAAGAGAGCGCCTTGTCGCTCCGTCACCTCAGGGAGCACCACCCCGCGGAGTCATTTGACAAACTTCAAAAGACTTTGGGCCCTTTTCTGTTTCAGAAAATAATCATCTCGACGCACGTCCACGCAGGCGCACGCGCGACTATTTATAAGACGGCGAGAGTGTATTTACATAACTTTAATTCGGTCTCTAATTAAAGCCCCGGAGAATGGCGGTTCGGCTCTAATTTGGAATAATTAAAGAGCAACACAAGCCAAGTGGCGGCAGCCGCGTCCCGGCGCGGGAATCTAAACGCTCAGGTGTACCTGGCTCTTAATGAAACGCTATTGTTCCAAACGGCCGCTTGTCGAATTTGCAGGTATTTTGCTGGCTGAATGAATGCGCCGGATGCTGATTGCTCCGCCGGGGGAAACGGCACTCCGGGATCGCCTGATTAGCAGGAAGTCACAAATAGAGAACAACTCTGCTCCCCTCCCCCAAGATACACGGCCTGAGGACATGGCCTTAATGCTAATTAGTGCTGAACGCACAAGACACGTCAAATCTTTCAATGAAAAAACAAAAAAAAAAAAACGCAGATTCTTGCACGGCGCACGTGGTCCTTGGCCATTTTGGTTTGCGCCCGATGATGTCGTTCACACTTGAGCAGGCAAAGCGCTTGAGCGAAAGCAGCTCAAGGCTCAACCGCCAGCTCTAATTTGGACAGGAAAAAAAAAAAAAAGGCCCGTGTTTGGTTGGATTTTTTTCATGAAACAAATCGGGGTTCATTTTCTTGATATGCTTTGGAAGAATATTTCCTCACTCGAAAAAGCTTGTCGTTTTGCAGAAAACATTTGTTGAAGACAGATTTTTTTTTTTTCAAGGAAATACACATTTTTTTCCCCCCAAGAAAAAAGTCTGGATCCAAATTTTTATCTTGGAAAAAAAAATCTTTTGGGGCCACCAAATAAAAATCTTACGCGAGCAAAGTTGGATTTTTATTTAAAAAAAAAAACAAAACAAAAAGCATTTTGCCTGTTTGGTGGTTTATTTTAAAAGGTGCTGCCTTGTGTAAATACAAGTCGCATGACTTGGGGCTAAAAGGTACTTGGGGAGAAATTTCATGAGAAAAAAAAAATTGAGGAACTATTTTGAGCTCATTTCCTTTCCCTGATGTTCTAGTGTTCCAATGCAGGGGAAAAAAAAAAATTGGTGTCCCCCCCCCCCTTGGTCATTCAAAAGTTGAACCATAGCTGACTCTTTGCGAAGCAGCCATCTTAAGACCTGGCTGGAAAATTTTCACCCGAAGCCGTTGCGTGACGTTTCCCCGCTGCAGGGCTGAAGCGGATCCACGCTCTGTCGGTCCAGGGCAACTACGAGCTGCGCATCGACCTGGAGGACTTTGAGAACGGCACGGCCTACGCCCAGTACGGGACCTTCGGCGTGGGCCTCTTTTCGGTGGACCCGGACGACGACGGCTACCCGCTGACGGTGGGAGACTACTCGGGCAACGCAGGTAACTTTGGGACGAGCGCCGTGCTTTCGGGAGTTAGGACGCGCGGGCAAGTCGTCGTCACGACGCAGAGCACGTCAGCTTTTAGCGGGACGGAGAGAGTCAGTCGAGAAAGCGGGCGTTGAGGTCGCTCTTCAAGGAAGAAAAAAAAAAATACAAAAACAATCTTTCAAGCAAAGTTGTATTTTTCGTGGGGGGGGGGGGTTGTATTTCCAAGTCATTTCTTTGGGGGAAAAGCACTTTGGAGAACAAATGTTTTGTCATTTCTTTGCAACGTCAACAAAATCATCAGAATCTTCCAACAAAAGAGGATTTTGGATCGCTCCGTCGTGGCAAAGAAGGAGCTGAGCCCAAAGGCCAGGCTCTCAATTTACCGCTCGATCGCCGTTCCCGCCCTCGCCGACGCTCACGGGCCGGGCGGGGGGTGGGGGTGGGGGGCATTTGTCCAACCAATGGCGACAGATGAGAGCGACGGAAGTTGCGGGGGGCCCCACGAGGCAAAAGCAGCAACACAAAGCAAAGGAGGAAAACACGTTGGATTGAAATTGCCGGGGGGGGGGGGGGGGGGGGGGGGGGGGGGTTCGCTCATCCCAAAGAATTTGGGGTCATGGTGAAAAGGAAAGAAGGAAGCAAATAGGAAGGAAAGGGAAGGGAAGGGAGCCTTGAGACAAAAGGATGAGAGGAGCGGAAAGAAGAAAGCAAGGAAGGAAAAGAAATATGAAAAAGACACGATGAAAAGAGGGCAACAGAAAGGAAGGGAAGGAAAGACAGAAAAAAATGAAAGGCGGGAAGAAAGGAGAGAAGGAAATGAAGAGACAGGAAGAAAGGAAGCCAGGGATGAAAAGAGAGGGAAAAGGGCTGAAAGGATGCTAAGAAAGAACGTCAAAAGGGAAGAAAGCAGGAGAGGAAAGAACAGGAAGGAAAAGGCCGCACTTGTCACTTGCTTGCCGGTAGAAAATCCGAAGCTTCCCGCGGACTTGGGCCCCGTTGCCAAGACGGCTTTTCCCTCCCCCGGCTGCAGGCGACTCCCTCCTGAAGCACAACGGCATGAAGTTCACCACCAAGGACCGCGACAACGACCACTCGGAGAACAACTGCGCCTCCTTCTACCACGGCGCCTGGTGGTACCGCAACTGCCACACGTCCAACCTCAACGGCCAGTACCTGCGCGGCCAGCACACCTCCTACGCCGACGGCATCGAGTGGTCGGCCTGGACCGGCTGGCAGTACTCGCTCAAGTTCTCCGAGATGAAGATACGGCCCACCCGCGACCCGGACGGCAAATGAGGCCACTCCCTCCTCTCGTGCCGATCCCCCTTTTCTTTTGGACGCCGTTTCCCCTTTCCACTTGCGTCTTTTTTGGGGGGGGGGGGGGATGCCAATATAAGTATTTTTTTCCCTTCTTGTGCAACCAGCGAGGAAGTACGAAATAGGAAGTAGAGGAGAACACAACGGAGGACGTCATTCCAGACCACACTTGGTGACCCGATACTTTGTATTTGTGTGTGCGTGCACGTGAACGTGAGTGTGCACAGCAGACTGCCCTCCCCACCCTAAAAAAAGTTTGTCAAGTCAGTCGTCTGGTGTCTGGACTCTCCCTTCAGTTCTAACCGAGTGTCTGACCCATCACCTCTGTTTCTTTTTTTTTTTTTTTTGTATATCTATTTTATTCTTTCCTTTTATGCAAATGAGACAAAAAGCACCGTTTAAATCTATATTACATGTGAATGAAATTTATATATATATATATATATATATATAAAACACAAATACAAAGACAAGACACAGACAAAGAGTGCAATTGGCATTGATGTTTTCCTTGGTGAATTTGTTCTGATTTGTACGAAAGAGGATGTTAGGGACCACCTGTGAGGGGGGGAACCACCACAGGAACAAATTTGTCAGCTTAAGGGAGGGAAATTGTACTTTACTATTTAAAAAAAAAAAAGAGGAAACTAAGTCAAATTTGGGGAAGTTTTTTTTAACAAAAACAATTACTTGGAGAAAAAAAAAATCAACTTGATTTTCAGAATATGATTCTTTACCCTCATTAAAAAAAATTCTGCCATGAATGAAACATTCACATTTTTAAGGCAAAAAAAAAAAGACTTTTCAATTGTAGCTTTATTTTCGTCATTTAGTGCTACATTTTGTGTCCAGTGTGGCCCTTTTCCTCCTTTGTCCCTTTCTTTGGATTCACCGAAAGCTTTACAGGAAAAAAAAAAAAAATGTAAATTTGACTGTACAGCGTGTATGACTTTTAGAGCATGTCCGGGTTTTGTTACCACGCTTTAAGAAAAAGAAGAAACTGAACTGAAGCACATGCAAAAAAAAAAAGAAAATGCACAGGCGGGACATTCCAAACATCAGCCTGTTGGAGGGACTCCTCCTAGCGGCCAGTTGGAGTATTGCACAGAAGGTGACGCCCCCCCCCCGAAGCACACGTTCCGAATGCGCGCATCCCTTCTCCGCTGATGTCTTTGAACGTCGTCGCGCGTGCGAAGGCGACAAAAAAAGCCGCTCGACAGGCAGCGGCCGGACCGAGTGCGCTTTGGCGCCTGTGCGCACGTGGGCAACGTGCGCACGTGGGCAAAACAAAATGACGACGGAAAGAGAGCGAGAGAGAGGCGAGTGGCACACAAACGAGAGGGTATTTTTACATTTTCCCAAAGGCAAGGGTCGAAAATTTCACAGTGTTCAAGTTCGTTTCAACCCATCAGAAGCACGAAAGTTGCTTCCGGGAAAGGCATGAGAACATCCAGCGGACAAATATTTCAAAGATGAACAGACTATTTATTGATTTATTTATTTTTAAAACATCATTTCCATGGGATTTTCTTTCTTGAAGAACAGTGGGTTTTTTTTTAATCCAAAATACAAAGAAATTTGCAGTCCTTGTTTTTGAGTTCCCCCCAAAATGAATGAAAAATGGACTCAATTTGGATCGAAATGTTTTCACTGGTGGGCAACACTGTTGTGATTATTTTGTAGTTGTTCCAAATATTTTTCTCCCAAACTCCCCTGGCATAAGCTCTTCCGTAGTTTTGGCTAAGCAAAAAACTCCTCGCACGTTTCAAAAGAAATTGGAAAAGAAGGAATGAAAAATACCCGCATGTGCGTGTGGTCCTCAACTCTCGGCGTGTCCAAGTAATGTGACGCTTGTGTACAACCCCCCCAGCCCACCCCACCCCGCACCCTTTGCTGCTCTTTGTATCGAGCGACGGAAGGCTTTGCGCATTGTTTTTGACGCAACTTTTACTTATCGTGATCATGTAGCCCCCGGGGCGGCGGCGTTGCCAGGCCCCGGCCCCCAAAAGCCGGAAAGAACCCCCCCCCCCACCCCACCCCTGGCCCAAACCCCCTCGTCGCCCTCACCGCCACCTTGTGCTCATTGTATACGTTGCTGCTTTGTTCAATAAATGTTGGAGCCGAGCGTCACCTGAAATCCATCCCTGACCACCCACCTGCTGTGTTTTGTTTTGGGTTTTTTTTCTTCAAAGAGATGATTAAAAACCTACAAATCTGAATCAGAATCATCTTGTAACACACACACAAGGAATTTGTCTCCGGTAAGACGAGCCACGCGGAGTCGTGCAGTCACAAGCAAGCGCCCTGATCAAAGACTTGTCCTTAAAGTCGAGAAGAAGGTCCTCAAACATCCTTAAACATTTTGCCACACGTGCCCCAAAGGTCCCCGAGCCTTCCTAAAATGTGCCCACAGCTTCCCACAACAAAACTCACCCAAATGTTCTCCAACCACACTCGCAACCTCTTCACACCTTCCCCAAGCCTTGGTAAAATGGCTCCACAGTGGCCCCAAACCTCCGCAAGCTTGGAGCACACCATGGCCAAACTTGCTCCAACCCTTGGCGACGAGGACCTTCAACAGTCTGACAAGATGCCCAGCCCCGCTGCCGTTTCCGAAAATGTCCCCCACAACTTGCTGAAAGGTCACCATCGCGTCGGAAAACACGTCCAAAATGTTCCCCGCTGCACAGCGAGTTGGTGGAGAGGTGGCTGTTTCTCCACACCCCACCCCCCCCGCCACCCCCCTCCCATTTGGGTGTTAGCGAATCACCGCAACAACTGCACGTCGCCGTATCAGTGTCTCAGCTGGCAGGTAGAGATGATCAGATTAAGCGCCGGCGGCAACAAAACGGACGGAATTTACCGATATGACGACGGCGCGTGTCGTGGCTGCTGCGTTTTAGAGGAGGAAAAGCTGCTTCACAATCGGGACAATCTGCGGAAGACAGCCTTTGGTCAGACGAGTCCCCGACCGTGCCGGGAGCCAAGGCGGCGGAAAATGGACACGCCGTCGCCATGCAAAATGGAGCAACTTCCTCCTTTGCGGGGTGCGAGAATGAAAAAAAAACGTGACAGTCGCCGCTTTGTGGGCTTCACATTCTGGAGCGTCGCAATTGGTGACTGAGAAATGGGGATACCAATCGCATCGTAATTCCAATTGCTGGACTGTTCGAGTCCAGTTTGCACTTGGCTCCCGACAGCATCCCAGAAATTGGCATCCCTTGGCGCTGCCCTTTCGCCATTCCGGCGACGGAAGCCGGGAAAAGGCGTTTCGGGGCAAAGGGCGTCTTGAAAATTGAAAGGAAGCCGCCGTCCAGATGTTGGACGCCTGACGTGAAGCGCCGGAGTCTAGCAAAGCGGCCCAGCAGGCTCTGAAGTCCGCAGGTAGGTAGCTAGGTGGGTGGTGGTGGTGGTGCTGTGGTGGGGGCAGGGGGGGGTGTATACACACGCACGTTTTCAACAAATAAGGAGAAGGGGTCGGGCAATCATATGCGTCGTCAGCAACAGTCTCAACGCAGAGTGAATAAATGATGAGGGAGGCGATGTGGTTAGTAGCTCGGCGCGCTTCCTTCGCCCTTTATTTATTCTGCTTATGTGTTGAAGGCGATGCAAATGACGGGGGAGGAGAGTCGTAATCTGCAGGCGAGACCGATGAGATCTCAATGGATTTCGTGGGGGGGGGGAGTACTTTGTCTTTGTCTCTGCTTGGAAAGTGCTCAGAATGGGCAATATCTCAATCATTTTTCAATTGACTTTGCTGTCTTGCAATTGGTTTCCAGCTGCAATATTTCAGAGGCCCGCGCAAGAGCATTTGCGGTTGCACACGTCGCACACGCACGGCCACGTGCAAAAGTCTCAAACCAGAAGAGCGGCGTGAAAATCATCGAGACAGCAAAGTATTAATCAAGCGAGTCAAATCAAAGGTGACTTTTTGGGGGGGAGGGGGGGGGCACAACCTCAAAAAACCTCTGGGATGGGCCGGTTCCCCTTATTCCCCTTTGCAAATTGCGAACGTCAAAGTCGAGACAGACGAGCGGGACAAAAGCTGCAAGGATCAATACGCCGAGAGCCGGCGTGAAGATTGCAATCGCGACGTTTGCGGCTTCTATGCTATCGCGGACCAAGTGACACAAAGCCCGTCGACAGAGACCACCCGCAACCTTTCCCGCCGCAGATGACAGTGAAACACAGCTAACTAGAAAACAAAGAATTTTGTTTGCGGAAAAAAGTCAACATAAAACAAGCATTGGGTGTTCAGTTTTGTTTTGAGGGGATTAATGGGGGTGGGGGGGTCGAACTAATGGGAGGAAGTCCTGAGGTGGTGGAGTTTGGTTGAGGCAATAAAGCAGGAAATCTAATATGGTGGAACTTTTCGTCCCACAAGGCTCACAAACGGAATTTGTCGGTGTCTCATCCCACACACACACACACACACACACACACACACACACACACACGTCATCCCACACACACACACACACACACACACACACACACACACACACACACACACACACACACACACACACACACGCAATGATAAGCTCTGCCTGGCATTGTGCTGTAACCTGATTGCAATGTTTATCGGGTAGCACCGAGGTGGAAGTAACCTTGTTTGGCCAGCTGGAATACAGAGTCAGCTATTTGTTGGAGGCGACGTGCAACAGCCCTCGTTTGACTTGACGTCCCCGCAGCGCGATCTACACACATATGACGCTTGAGTGCGTCACGTACGGTAACGCATCCGTCTCAATCTATCCACTCATGCCGGAGAAGCTATTTTGACATATTCAAGCAATCCAGTCAAATGCACGAGCAAAAACATGTCTGCTTCCCACATGCTAGCAGCTTCTCGATGGCGACGTGGAATTACAGTAGAACAAATTAGAGTTTTTGTCACGGCGTGTCTGGCAAGAATTTGCTCACCGGTGTTGATTCGGATCTGAGCTTCGGTGACATCCCATTTCGGGGCCTTTTTGATTGGCCGTGCTTAAAATTGACGCTAACCCTTCATACAGCGGCGCAGCCCTCCCTCTCGGCCATGAAAAAGCTCTGGCACAGAAGTGCGCGGGACCTGCGTCAATATGTACTTGGGCGTTTGCTTTCCCAGGGCTCCAACTTCCATCCAGCGTTTTCCCTTTTCGGCGTCATTTCAATCGCACCTTGTTTGCCTACACCTCAATTTCCGCCAGCCGCCGCCGTCGTCGTCGGGGTGCGCCGGGCCGATTTGCCG